GTCCCTGCTGTGGGAAACCGGGCAGCGGCCAGCTCCCGCTTCCCGGCTCCTGGGCCTGGAAGGGAAATGCCTTGGCTCCTCTCTCTACCCACCAGCTGCTGCTTACCCACATCAGCCTGGAGCCTCCTAGGAAATACGGTCATCCCGAGCACTGGAGCTCTGCATTGTATTCACCACAGAGCATCTGATCTACAAATCCAGCAGAGACCCTTATTTTAGCTGCAAAAATTAAATGGCTTAAAAAGGGCGGTCGGCCTCCGTCCTGTTCCTTTGCTGCTCCCTCCTTCTTTTCTCTATGTGATTCCTGTTTTTTCACAGTCTTGCAATAAGGTGGGATATGGGGGGGGCTGTTTCAGTGCATTTACAATGATATTATTGACAGCAGGGAGCATCCCATCACTTTTCACAATTTCAGGAGCCAGCTCCCAGCTCTGCACCATGCTCCAACTGGCAACCATAAAGCCAGGCCTGCTCTTCACCAGCGTTTCATTTTCAGCTTTGTTCCTCATTTTCATTAAAATGTCAGAAAAAATAAAGGCCGAGTAAGAAAAGTTGTCACCAAAAAAAAGTGGTTTTTTGCGTATGGAAATACTATAGCTGATGAGAAAAAAAAAAAAGCAAAAAAGAAATCTTTCACCTTTATGCAATTATTTCTGGAACCTCAAAGGCCTACCACATCTTTCAGTCTACACGTCTGTCAACAGCAAGATAGATTTTCTTCTTCTGCTCCATGACTTTATGATTTATTGCTTGGTGACAGATAACAATTATCAATAATTTAATTGTCCCAGGATGTTCAAACTACACATTTGAATCTGGGATTTATGTTCATTTCCTCTTAATGTTCATGCTAATGACAAGTGCATGTACTCTGACACACGATATTGTCTCCAAGTTGTTAGGGAAATATAAACTTCATGGCCTGAGTGCAATGGATCTGTGATATATTAGGGGCTTTGTTATTCTGCTCCGTCACCAAACCTTTCCTTTGGCGAGCAAATGAGCTGGAGATTCACAGAGTTGTCTTGAGATATGACTCACAAATTTGCTTTAGGCTGATTGCTTTGCATGAAAGCATGGTACCTCTTTCATTCCACACCTCCTAAAATGACTCAAATGAGCTGCTGATGCCAGAGGTCAGATGCAAGTTGTCCCAGGAGGCTGAACTAGATAATATGTTAGTTTAAGGATTTCATCTCATAATAAACTAACTGGTTGTTCTTTGCACATATCCACCAACATAATCTTTGTTTTCCACATGACAGCAAGATGACTGTGATGTGTTTCTTCAGGAGTGGTATTCAAGGTTCTGCGCAGGCTGTTCAGGCTGTTCACAGAGGCTGACTGCTCCCCAGTTGTAAGTTGTGGTTTGATTCTTATTCAGCTGCTTAAGCTTTGCCACACACTGCTCAGGATCCAGAACAACAGAAGGAAGCCATGCTGCATCTTGGCCACTTCTTAATTCAGACAACCTAATCTTCTGCTGTTTGGTGACCTGACATGGGCCAGGATCAGCATATCTGCAGCAGTAGCCATTGCAATGGGAAGCTACCATTTCTGAAGGAATTAATTTTACTAATTATTGTTTCTCTCCTGCTTAAGCAGAGATGTTCCTCAATGCTCAGTATCTTGCTGCTTTGGCTATTGAAGCCAGCCAAAAGTCACCCATTTTCATTAATATTTTCCTTGAGTTCAATTTTACATTGCAACGTGTCCTTTTCATCCTTTTGCCTAGTTATCAGTTGAGTAGTACTCATGACTTGCTGAGAAGGATTTCCATGGACAGCATCACCATGGCTTGTGTTTATCCTCTTGACGTGTTTCTGTGTTATCTGCCAGATACTTTTCAGTTGGCAAGTTCCTCCCTCTTTTCCAGTTGTCATTGGCAAGTTATGTGTTTTATTGTAGTCTACATGGAGCACAGCACCTTTCAGCCGCTTGATCTTTCTTTTACAACAGCTGTAATCAATTCTACTTTGAAAATAAATGTTTTCTTTCTGAAAGGTTCATAAACCCATGTAAGGAACTTGGACTTTGGCTACCATATAATATGATGTGGCCTAATTCTATCACTTTTACACTTCTTTGGTGTCACAAAACCATCTTCACTAGTTTCATGTGTTTTCTTCCATCATTTGGGAAGCCTGACATGGTAATGAGATTAGCTGGTAGTTGGTCAGTCCAAACCTTTGCTTGTTGTCTCTTTGAATGTATTTTGGAGAAGGACCAGAAGCTAATGCTGAACTGTGAAACAACAGGTCATACACCAGCAGTTTTCAGTCAACTCTCCATTGCATCAGCATCCTGAGCACCTTTAAATCTCCTCCATCCTTCATTAGGTGAGAAACTACCTAGGAGCCTTGGGGGGCCAAAATTGTTCTTTACAGTCTTGGTAGTAAGGTTTTGTCCAGCCATGCTGTGACACAGCCCACTTCTCCAAGAGACTTGGTGAATGCAGGTGAGCAACATGGTGCACCTGTGGTCTAGTGGGTGCATCTGGTAGCAGAATTTTGCTCCAGTGGCGAAGCCTTGAACTGCAACTTCTAATACCCAGATAAAATAGCTACGGACTTGTGTATTGCTTCTGGAGGAAAAAAAAAAAAAGCTTTAAAAAAAATGGTAATTAAAAAGATACAGATGTTGATTAAATTAAAAAC